CCGGGAAGGACCATTTCCCTCCACTCGCTGCTGGACAATTCCCAAAATCAATGTCCAGGCAGCCAGGGGGGAGCTGGTTATGGAGCAGAAATTTTTGGGTTTGGATCCAAAGGGTTTTGAGATAGCAAAGAGAACCACACTGAGTCCATCCCTCCAAAATGTGGGAGATGGCTGCAGCACCCTCCAGGGATGGCAGGAAAACACCACAACATGGACAAGGACACTTTTCCGGACAGATTTGGAGGAGATCCCGAAATCTGGACATCCCCACTGCTTTTTTTTTGCCACTCAGGTCCTCTCCTGCCACTCAGATCCTCTCTGTCCCARCTTCATCCCTGCTCCAGGAGGCTTCGAAGCTCAAATTTCATGGAACTGATATAAAAAAATTTGAAGAAAAATCCTTTGAACTGGAAAGAGGGAATTTGTTCTCATTTGTGTTTTTCCCCATTTCTTCCCATTTTCCCAATTCCTTCCCATTGTGTTTTTTTGCCTCATTTTGGGGTTCTTTCTCTTTTCTCTGTACCTTGGGACAGGGGTTACCCCAGGATTCCAGCCCTCCATGTAAGGTCCCAGCTCCCCATAGGCACAACAGGATCAGCCCCACGCTTGCCTTCCCAAATCTTCCCCAAAATCCCGGCTCTCATCCCTTCCCACAGCAGCACGCCCTCTCCTTCACCTCTCCCATCCCCTAACCCTCTGCAGACCCCAAATTCCTCATTTTCCCCCTTTATCTTGCACATCCCTCGGCGGGAGAGCCCAAACCACCCCTGGTGGAGCACCAGGACAAATTCCTGCCTCAGGACCTCAGGACAGGAAAATCAGCGAGCGATTCCATTCTCAGATAGGTGAATGCCGACGATTAGGGCTGTAATTTTATGCAGGAATTTGCTAAAAAAAAAAAAAAAAAAAAAAAAAAAAAAAAAAGCCCAGCGCGTTTGAAGCGTTTAATGCAAATCCCTTTAGGTGTCAATCCTGCTTGAATGGCTCATCCCCGCCTGCTCGGTGGGATCAGTCAAACGCTTATCACCGGCTTTGGGGGAAAAAAAATAGAGGGTTTCAACAGGCGCTGCAAAACAGGAGCAGACACCGGGACAAAGGGCCCGTCATTCCTTTCAGGAGCCGGCAGGGACTGACAGCGGCGCTGAGAGAGGGGGCGGTGTTGGAGGATTCCGCAGAAAGGTGCCCTGAAGGTTTTGGAGGATTCCCGCAGAAAGGTGCCCTAAAGGTTTTGGGATGTCCCAGAGTGGTTCAGTGATGGGAAGAGCAGGATGAGCTKGGAGAAGCTGGAATGAGAGGTTGGGATCCACAGGGAGCGGAGATTCCGTGATGCTCCCGGAATTTGGCTCATCCCAAAAAGCATCCCACAGCACTGAATCTCCCTTTGACAAAAAACCTAAATTTGGGTTTGGAAAAAGAATCTCAACCATTCCCCAGCTGTGCTCATCCTCCATTCCCAGCCCGTAAAAAAACCTGGAAATTGAGTAACAATTAAGTAACAATCATCTCTGCAGGCATTTGTTGTCACTTCCATTCTCACTGCCGTAAAAAAGAAATTAAAACGGGTTTAATTTAAAATTGAGCCACAAGCCAGGAGCTGCCCCTGCAGCCGCTGGGGCCAGGTGATGTTTTATTCACCGCTTTGCTCCTCTCCAGCACTCTCCAATTTCCACACAAACGCTGCTCTTAAAGGAAGGGAAATAGAGTGTGGGGGGGAGAAAAAAAAA